AGGTGTAACCTCTTTGGAAAAGGTAGATAATCAATTGAAGGGCAAAGTTCTAACAGGGATCCAATCTAGTCATGAATCAATTGAACCACCTACTCTTTTCCGTCCTGTGGCCCGTGTCGGTGCTTTAATGTTTATAATAATGTGGATGCACCAGAAATTGTTTCACCATGTTCAAAGACAGTTCCAATGCTTGCACTGAACGTTTAGTGCCTCTACAATGTGGTCTTGGCTGTTGTGGAACTCAAAATGGTAGAAATCGAAATAATTGTTTGCTGGTGCCAGAGTTTGTGGAATTTTCAGAAACTCCATCTTTACCAAATTATGAATTGGCTGAAATAGCCACTGGTGTAAGTAACCTTGCTTGGCTTAAAAGCGGATTGGAAAATAACACCGTCATAACTCGTGCTGATGATTGCTTAATTGGATGGATAGATTGTTGCTAAAAGCTTCCGGAGATGTTTGTAATTGGCACTTGGCAATTGGAATGCATCAGTATTCAATGTGCTTAATTAATTTAAATAAGAAGTCCACACGGCAGCCGCAACCGTCCAACAAAGGTTAAAATATGCCATAGGTTTATATATTTTTCTATTTTTAAGATTTTAGTCCTTATAGTATTATATAAAATAATTTAATTTTTATGATAGTATTTTTAAGAAATTTAGTTCTTATAATATTATTTTAAAAAAAAATTATTCTTTGCACATTATTAATAATTGAAATGAAATCTTTAAAAAATAATATTATAAAGATTAAATTTTTTTAAATAATATCAGAGGAATTAAGTTATTAAAAATTGAAGAGCACATAGATTTATAACACATTTTGATCTCTGACAAAACTTGTGACCTTCTCTATATTTACGTTCATACCCAACAAGGAATCAAGAAATAATTTCAAATCTTTCAAAATATTCTTCCATATTAAAAAAGAGTTATCAATGGTCATACTTTTCATTTGTCAATGATATCTTATTTTAATGATGGGATTAGGTTCTGAAACTTTGAGATTCCAATTTTTTTATTTTAATTTTTATGTACGTTGATTTGTTCAAAATTTATGTTAAAATTTTTCATCAATTAAGTAATGATACGTTGCTGAAAAAAAACTCAATAATACAAAACTTGATTGCAATTGATCGTTTGCTTTGTTGCATGTTATTACTTGGATCTGAGGTTATCAAAATATGAAAATTTGAAATTGATTCTAGCTAATCAAGGATTTTTTTATTCAAAAAATTTTTGAATCCATATGCTATCTAAACTTACAATATGTACTTATCAGGGCAAGATTGAGATTAATTCAAACCTGTTCATGTTTATGAGAATACTAATTACTCATTGCAAGAAATGACCATTCAATTTCATAAGTACTTTTTCATGAATTTACATGTTTTCTATGAACCTTTTCTTATTGTGTAAATTCAAATTTACAATTAAAGAAACAAAGTTGAATAAAAGTCTACATTTGATTATCACAGAGCAGGTCTGTCTTATAGACTATTTAAATTAATTTCGATGAAATTAAAAGTAACGATAGAGATGAGATTAATTGTTATTATAGTGAAATTAAAATTAACAATAAAATATATATTTAAATACGTAATAATGATAAAATAAATTGTAATGAAAAAAAATGACAATTAAAAATATTATATTAAAAATTATATATATAATAAAAGTTTTAAATTATTTAATATTTATAAATTTATTTATCATATAAAATTTATTAATAAATAATAAAATTAATTCAAAATATTTATTCAAGTATTAAATAATAAAATTTATTCATTATTAAATTATCATATTTATTTGGCAATTTTTAAATAAAAATAAAAATAAAATAAAATCTATACTGATATTTTGGACATAACAATAAATTTTAAAGGATAAAAATTTAAAAAAAAAAAAAGAAAAAAATTTTACTTGCCGGTCATTAACTGGACAAAAAATAACTGGTTAATAATTGATTATTTTTTAATCTTACCACAATTTCATTTGAAAACAAAAGTTGCAATGGACACATATTTTGATTGCAACTGCACGTCACTCAGGGTGCAGTGCAATCCAAACGGACACTTAGACCTGAGGATCCTCTGCTTTATGCCCTTGCGCCTACTTTATGGCAAGACCCTTATACGGTCATTACTGTTTACAAGCTTGTTTTTGCAATTGTGGATTTCTAGAAAAGAAATCCATTATGAAGCAATAGATATAAATTCTTTTTTTATTTGAAGTTGTCGACATTGAATTTTAATTATTAAAACTAAATATTTTAAACCAATAGATTATACCAGTGCTGACATAAATATAAGATCTTTATTAAAAAGAAAAACATTACTAAAAATCTTTTGGTAATATTTCACCGCATCATCATTTTTATCTATGTCAGATTCAATTAATCAAGTAAAACTGATTTTTAAAGAAAAATTAATTAAGTAAAATTTCTAAATTCTATTTAAAGATGAAAACTGTCTCAAAATCTAAAATTATCCTAAATTAAAATGAAACTTAAACACTGTAATAATCGACAGCAGAATTAATATAAGCAAAAATACAAATAGGTGTGCAGCCATAAGGCTACAAACTCAAGCTCCATAGAGTAAAATAGCTCCGGGCTACACACAATAACGAAACCATAAAACCGGAAAACACATAATTAAGAACTGGGTAAAAAGAAGTAGCTAGAGGGGTTGTTCATTAAAATTCTCGGTTTACAAATATCAAATTTACTGAAACAAAGACCTGGGAAAGAAATAAAAGTACGAAAATGTGATAATGGGTAGAAATATTGTTCAGAAAGTGAATTTCGAAAACAATTGCACAGATTTGAAAGATCCAACCATCAAAATACTTTTTTTTTTTTTTTTTGTGATTGATTAAACAAATTTGACGTCTAGAAAATTGTTGATGTGGTGACTTGTTATTGGACGGATCTATATCCGATGTGTTAGGAAGAATCTACTTAATAATTCTCTTGACACATTTGATTATAAAATTACGACCAAAAGATTTTATATAAATTGGTTTTTTTTTTTTGGTCATATTTTATATAAGTTGTCAAGTTATTGAAGTTTCTATATGATGGTGACTCAATACTCACCATTTACTAACTTAAAAAAGAATAATGAAAAAATAAAATAAAATATTCATGTTTCTTCGTCGAGAAGAGAAAGGCAAGAATTAGTATCACCTTTATAGAGTTTTCAAGGAACTCAAAGGAAAAAAAAAATGTTTTCGAAGTTTGATTTAACTTTCCAAATGTAATATTCTCCATTACATCTTCATGAAGTCTATTTTTTTTAATTTAAAACTTGGCAAATTTTGTATATCATTTTAATTTTATTTTTAAATAACTGTAGTAAATATTTATTCCTTTTAAAATAAATATCTTGCAAAGCACATGTCCAATTTTAATTGCATGTATATATTTTAAAATAATTTTAATGCAATTAAAATTAATAAGACTTTTTAGTTATTTTTCTTTCATTTCAAATGATTGTAAAAGATAACATCTAATAAATTTAAAATGGTTAATTTCAGAAATATACCCTATGATTAAGGCCGAAATAAAAATATCTTATGAAGTTTAAAACATGATACTTAATTGCTTTATGATTTGTTTTATTATTTTTTTCTTTAAAACTGTTACTTTTTTTGTTTCTTTTCATTTTGTTTTCTTCTTCATCTCAATTCATATTCATTTTCTCTCAAACCAAATCAATTCTCTTTCTTATAGTTTGGTTTAGTTTGGTTTGACTTTAAAGAATTGGTTTGATTTTAGAGAAAATTAATTTGTCAATCCAAAAACTCAGTCAAAGCTATTCCTAGCAAATAGTATTTTTGATTCAGTAAAATCTAGACAATTGAGCAAACAAGGACAAAACAAACAAATATAGAACTAAAAGAGAAGAAATTTGGTCAATGAGTAATCTCAAGCAATTTAGCAGCCAGTGTTCATCCGAATCAACAACCCAAAGAAGATAACCAAAAAGCAATTCAAAACCAAAATCCATGAAACAAATAGCAAAAAATTCACCAACAAAGCTTCAACACAGATTGACAATCAGTTAACCCAGAATCAATAATTAACTAGACCCAGAAAAGACCCATTCAACAGTGCAAAATCAACAATTACCCATCAACAAGCAATTATAGACACAAATTAGCAACAAAACATCCATAAAAAAATCAAAAACAAAATAAAAAATTTTCATTATAAGAGTTTTCGATATTTTTTCGGTTGTTGGGCTTTTCTCTATGGTTTTTGAAGTAAAATAAAAAATATTATTTTAGGCTTCTTGAGTGGTGAACAATAGCGAAGACAATTTGAAAGGTTTTGGGTTTTGGTTTATGTCTTGGGGTTTTGGGTTTTTGTTTATGTCTTAGAGTGCTCAAATAAAGAAATTGATAGTGACATTTTTATCAAATATTAAGTTTTTGCTGGGTATTGAGCAAATAAAGAAAGAGAAGAATGGTGCCACACAAAGAAGAAAAAAGGCTAAGGCTAACTATCAATGGTAGAATAGATAGTGGTTTTTATTTGATTTTTTTTATTTTGTTCTTGAGTTTAAAGTTGGTAAAAAAAAGTTGAAAAATACTCTGAGAGGTTTGGTTTGATTAGAGAAAAAAGTTAGAGAGAGAATTGATTTAGTTTTATAGAGAGAAAATGAATTTTTTGATAGAAAATGAATTGAGATGAAGAAGAAAAAAAAATAAATAAAAAGTAACAAAAAAAGTAATGGTTTTAAGTAAAAAAATAATAAAACAAATCATAAAATATTTAAATGTCATATTTTAAACTTTAGAAAGTCTTTTCATTTCGATCTAAACTATAGGAATATTTTTAAAGTTAACCCAACTTAAAATTTAAAATTTAGTATTTTTAATATTTTGTTTTATCTCCGAATGACGATCTCTTTCTTAAAAAAAATTAAAATTTTCAATTAACGAAAAAGTGTTGATATATATAACGGAAAAACACAGTAAAAAATGATATTCTTAAAGGAATTTTATTAGAGTTTTGACTTTTGACAAGAATAGGTTAATGAATAATATCATTTATTACATCGAGAATATATTGCCTTGAAATAGTGAATGTGAAATGCAATCTTGAAATTATTATCATCGTCAAGGAGAACTTCAACGTCTTTCATCGATCAACTGTCCCTAGCATTGTGGTAGATCTACCGGCGGTGGAGGCAAGATTGTATCCGGAGTTGGTCCGTTTTCAACCACGAAGGCGGTGGCCAGGCCCACTGGCAAGTGCGTGTCTAGGTGGCAATGCATTAACCATACACCTGTGCATTTGAGATGAATAAAAACAAGAATGTTTAAGTTCAATGTTTTCAATGCTTTCACAAGGGTTAGAGCGAAAAAAACAAAATGCTTGAGCTTTAAAAAAAAAAAAACGTTGAACTATCGCTTTCATCTCACACCCACGCTAAAGAAAGTTAATGATCATAGAAAATTAACCTGGATTATTAAGTCTGAATCTGATGACAGCCCATCCTCCTACTGGCACGCCAATAGTGTTGCGCATTTGTGGGTTGATAAAATTGAACTTCTTTCTATCGGTGGCAGGGTTATAGTTTCCGAACCCTTGAGCCAATACATGAAAGTTTAAGCCATGGATGTGAATGGGATGATTCTCCACTCCAATGAAAGCTGTGTTCTGCAAGATCATCTGTACAGTCGAGTTGAACTTGAGCTTGGTGACCTTGGTTGTTTTTGGAGCAAACAACAACGGTAGGTTGTTGTTAATGCTAGCGTTGGTGTAGTCAAATTGAATTGGGGGCTTGGCAGGGAAATCAGTGGTGTAAACTCCACCGACGTTGAAGAAAAAGGCTTGCAACATAGACAAGCTGGTGGGTAACACGAAGGATTCATTATTCATGCTGGCAGAGAATTTCGTCCCATTGACCGGACCCTGGCAAGTAGTGTTTGCTGGGCAAAGCTCGAGCCCCAACCCAACGGTGACGAACATTTTGTAGTCCACGTTACGTGGGACGGGGACCCAGTGAGGCCCGCCAACCAATCCGGTAATGTTGGTGTAAAACTTGTTGGCCGTGGGGGTGTCATTGAATGCAGGGAGGGCTGGCATTAGCGGCGGTGCTGAAGATGGGGCACCATCATAGACGACGACGCCCCTCGTTGTAGTATTATCAAACTGCACACCAGTTGCGCTTGCATATGGTCTTGCGGCCATGTAATACGACCCGACCGGCTGATCGGCGGTTAGCAGAACGTCGACTGTCTGCCCAGGGCCGGTAACCACGACGTCGGTGACATAAGGTTTGGTGTAGCCGGCGTCAACGGCAACGACTGTCACATTATGATTGGCTATCTTGTAGAAAAGCTGGTTGTTGAGTGCAGCGTTGATAATACGTAAGAGATAGGTCTTCCCTTGCTCCACCTTAAGCTTGTACATATCTGACGAGAAACCATAATTAAATTAAACATCAATTAACATATAAAAATTATGGAGTACTTGCATGGAGATATGTATTGGTAATCACTTACTGTTTTGAGAGCATGCGTATAGATCACCAGGCCGTCCATTTATTGTGTAGGCATTAGAAATGTTAGCAGCAGCGCCAGTGGCAAGCGCCTGGTTCTCCACATCAATGACATTAGCATTCCACCACTCACCTGCAACGCCATTGCTACTTTAATTAACCATGGCAATAGTTTCTAAAATGAAATTTTAATAAACACTTCAACTAATAGTCTAATTAAAGAGATTAATACTTCTAATTCAAAAAAAAAAAATAATACTTCAATCAATAAAATCTTAGATCCTGGTGTAAATTAGAATTGGTTAACTACCTAAGAGGATGGGAACTTCCTTGTAGGGCTTAGGGAATGGGTAAGAGTGGCCGGCTTTGGGGCGGATGATGAGTGCACCGTGGACGGTGGCACGGAGCCAAGAGGCATGAGCATGCCACCAGAGGGTTCCCTCCTGTTTAATGATTCCGAATTTGTAGGTGTATTTACTTCCTGGGAGAATTGGACACTGAGTGACCATGTTAGGTCCATCTGCCCAGCCACTCAGTTTCTGAAAAATTCCATGCCTGCTCAAGCAATCATCGAATTCACCGACATAACCGTTAACAATGGTTAAACATAAAAATATGAATGTATATAAAAAATAATAAACAATGAGCTACAAATTTAATTAGTTTTAGTGCTACATATATCATCATTAGTAGCTGGAGTCGAGCATTGTTCTTTCATTAATTGAAAATTGATCACATGGAATAAGATATACATGCACACCCAATATAATGGACCTGGCTATACTATATTTTCAAATGAAAATTAAAAATCTCTCTTTAATTTGTATCAATAAAACAAGAACCGACGTTGCTTCGTGAAGTATTTTTACAGTGATGTTTTCGTCACGAAAACACTAATTATTTTGAAGAATAAGTCAGTAATAATTACACAATGAATAAGTAAATTGACGCGTCTAGTAGATGTTTAATATTTCTTTGTCAAAGTTAAAGCTAAATTTTGGTGAAAACTGAATAAATTTGGTTGTATATTTTCATGAGGATTTACCAGTGAATGGTCAAGTTGTAAGGTGACTTATTAAAGACATGAACAATAACTATGTCACCCTCTTGAACGTTGATTGTTGGGCCAGGGAGGCCACCATTTACTGCAGTAATCACTTGGCTGTTGCATAGCTTATTAACAGTCAAATTTTGCACCTGCCAACAAATTAAAATAATGAAGTTAGGGACATTATATATTAATATAAGATCATATTGTCAAACACTAATCACTTTCATTTAGGCAATCTGCCTATAGGCTCAAAGAAAGTTGAATGTATTCAGTCTAGCAATAAACCATCACTAATGACTAAATTAAGTAACTAATCTAGGATGGAAATGGTTAAAAATTAACCAAAGAGGTAAAAATCATTAAAGGAAAGTGAAGGGTATTTGTAAAAACCATTGCCTTTGAGCTGCGGCATATGATTGGTAAGCTTCTATTTTCTATAGTACATATTCAACGTGCAAGATGTTACTGGTAACACAATGACCATTATGTGACTAAAGCTCGAGTTGAGTTGTAATGCAAAGTTTTGATCCAATTGGATTGGAAAGGAGAGGTTAATTTAATCCATGAAAAGAAATAATGAAAACAGATTGAATATGGCTAAAGCTCTACAAGTAGATTACATAGAATGTGTGCTCCACTATTTCTTCAGCTGAAGCTGTTGAAGCAGCCAGAAGAAGAAGCAAAGCGTAAGCAAACAAGAAAATAGGGCGCCCCATTTCAATTGAAGGGCTAGCTCAAGCCAAAGATGAAGGAAGAGAAGGGTGGAAGATCAGATAATCGAATTCTTTGTAAGGAATGAGATATTGAGATGAGAGGGTGAGAGACAGAAGAGCTTCTTTTTATATTATTAGAAGTGTAAGGGCTCCTCGTGGAACCTACGTCATTCCGTGTTTAACTTAAAAAATTTTTTCTGTTAGATATGTCAACCATAGCATGCGATATCCAAAAATATTAAATAAAATAGATAACAAAAAAAAAAAAAAAAGAAATTCTCTGTTTTGCATTTGGCACACAATTGCGTAACAACCTAGCCAAAGGTTTTGGAACATATTTCTTCCTTTAGAATATTTTTGAATTGGCCAACCGACGCGTTAGTCTAACCTTCTATATTGGTGATTAAGTTTGGCCATCGAGAAAATTTTAAATTAAAAAACAAAACCAGAAGTCGTATATGAAAGAATCTTGGTTGTTCAAGCAAAAAAAGTCTTTTTGAATTTGATGATAGTAATTCTTACTAAGATCTTGTTTTAATTAAGAATGTGATCTTATTCATATTTAATAGAGAATTTGATTTTTTTATTTGAATGAAAAATAGGATGAATATTACATTATCAGGATGAAAATAAATATAATTTTTAACATTTTTATTTGTTACAGGGATAGAGATGAATAATATAATATTTACCTCGTATCTTATCATATATTATATATATTTATTAATTTAATTTTTATTAAATAATACAAAATTTTATTTTAACTTAATTAAAATTAATATATTTTTATTTAAAATTTTTATATTAATATATATAAAATGATTATATAAATGTGTAAGATAAAAATAAAAAAATAAAAAATATACATTTTATTTTTATTTTTTAAAATATGGGTACAAAAATTACCTAAATCTATTAATATTTATGAAGATAAAGATGAAAATAAATTTGAAATACTTGTTAGATATGAATATGGGGATGAGTATAGTATAAAAATTTAGAGATAAAAATAAAAATTATTTTACCAATCTCATATTCAACCTATTGAGATCCCTAATTATAATGGGTAATGCTTTTTTAGTCTTAAGGATCCCTTCCTTTTGCAACCAATGCCTAAGTGTAATTTTCCATTGGGGTAATCTTTGTAGGTGGAATAATTGTAAAAAGTCTTCCGGCTGTTCGCTATGATATCTAATTACAATGCAATTTTGGGGTAAAAGGGCACATCAAAGAGCTGTTAGTCATTCTCAGGCTAGACCCTCCGTGGCTAGTACAGGCTCTAAATGCCATGAACTATATAAATGATTAAACTTAGATAGGAAAAACAGAGAAAATGCACATAGCTATAGGAATTAACACGTACCTATATATGTTTTTGGCTAAGTTTATTAATTGATTATTACTTAATGTGGAATTACTAAACTCAATTAAGCGATTTCCAACCCTAATCAAGTGATCATAACCATTACAATTGAGGAAATCATAAATTTAAATGGAATATATTGTGATAACAATGGCAAATAATGTACCATAGTTTCATATGGTCACAAGAAAATCGTGTAAACAACTACCCCTCGATTAATCCTTTGGTGTGCTGCCTAAACTCTATGTTTCACACCCTATATAATAAGCAAAATTTCAGACAACCTTGAACGTTGAACCAAATCCCTTCAATGTCCAATAATAAAATATAATGTATATTTCCATCCCACCCTTTGTTTATTATTATTATTTTTTACTCTACCCAATATATATACATATAGTTGGTCTCCTTTAACGTGTGATTGGTAAATATTGAACAAAGTCATACCTTATTTAATTATACGACTTATAAAAACTTGAGGTTAGTGAATTGATCGCCACAACATATAGTCTTAAATTGTTGTAATTTGTTATTTTGTAGTCTATGCCTCTTTGGAGATTTTTGAAAATAATGACCAGAAATGAAATAATTTCCTTTATATTAATGGGACATATATTATGCTTTCGTGAATCAGATCAGTTATCCCCTTGATTGAAACTTTCACTAGATAATTTTTTGAATATGGCCAAGTACAAGGAGGAAAAATTAAGAAAACTTCTCTATGTAATATACTCTGATTGGATCAAGTCAACCCTTTAATTGTTAAAACCTGTTCCTCAATATCCTAATATCTTCTCAAGGAAAATTTCATATTAACAAAACACAAGCAAATTTGCATTTATTGGTTGTTTTATAGTGTTTGAACATCTTGGGAAGGATACATCACGAATTAGTTAAGTACAATATTATTTTATAATAGATAATTGCCCCAAGTCTTCTTTCAAAACTGTATGACAATTCAAAGCTCCTAAAAGCCCCAATTCATATCTGTTGCTGTTTGTCTTTTTCCTTTTATATTTCATTTGATAAGTTGTAGGAAACATTTGGGGATTGCCTTGCTCGGTATATGCCTGATAGGTACAGCAGCGTTGACTAAATTTTCAAGATAGATGAGAGTTTGGTCACTTGCCTTGGGATCAAAGATATTGCTTGTCTGCCTTGGAGACTCAAATTAATCTTCGTATTCTCCTCTTGTGAAATCCGTGGATTGCTTAATTTGGCACGTTCAAGCAATACTATTTCTTCCAAGGCATGGTAAAACAACATGCTTTTTCATTTGTTGTTTCTTTTACATTTTGTTAATGATTTAAAATTTTCAGTAATCTTCATTTGCTTGAATCCCACGCCTTAATTTACCTATATATATCCGGCCATGTTACTTTGAATATGTCAAATTCAAATTCTATCTAGATCTAGCAGTACTTAATTTAAGTTTATGTGGTTGAAAACATGACATTTGAGATCTTGAGATTGATAGTTACCCTAGCTAGCAAGAAAGGAAATTCCCAAGTTGTTCGAGTCATCTAGCTTAAGTTGTTGGAACAACTTTCTCAATCCACTATTAAAATGCATATTTACCACATCAAACTTCAACTAAGTCTTCTATTCAATTCTGCAGCTGGCGACAGGAACATGGACTTAATATAAATTAATTAAATATGTACTTAATTAGAATTGGTAAACCGTTTAACTTACATATTCATTTTTTTTTACTTGAGTTTATTGGGAATCAATATGTGATCATTGAATTAAAAATTCAGTATTTTTCAATAGATCAAATAATTGTTGGTTATATATATTGTTAGATTGGTTGTTGGCTATACATATTGTTAGATTTGTAGTACAATAACAACATGGATTTAATGTTAGATTTTGAGTCCATATTTCTCTAATATGTCTATTTTCATTTTCAAATTTCGATAAAGTACAGGACAACTAGCATAATTTGATTTTCTTAAAATTATGACATTTAGAAAGGATTAAAGAAAAAAAAAATAGAACTGATCCTGCTTTCATTTGTTTGTTTCGACATGATCATATAAATGAAGTTTAGTAGTTAGCTAGCTAGGCAAAGTCATAATCTTAAAACATTTTTGTCACTTTCTTTTTCTAGTTTCCGGGTCGTGCATGGATCAAGGTTTGGTAATACACCGATGATGTACTCTTGTTGATAATATTCATAAAAGATGAGGTAATTTTGATTAAGTCTTTCTTTTTTCAATCTAAAGCTGTAATTAAGTAGTAATTGGTTAGACAACTTATCAAAAAGTTTGAAAAAAGAAAATCTCTGACGTTTCCTTGGCTGTCAATTTATATGGTAGAAAGTTGGAAAACTTCTTTGCGTCAATCTTCAGACTTCAATCAGTTTGAAAAGGTAAAATCGACTTCATGTTTAATTTTGATCTTAGACTTGGTTTTTTTTCTTAGTCAAACAGAGATGCAGCCAGACACAAAATGTCAAACAGATTTTGCCTCATGTTGAAGGAACAATCCAAGGAAGTGAAAAAAACATATGAAACTTGCATCTAAGTGACCTAAACATCCTGAAACAATCGAATCCAAGCCCTGGAAATTCTATTGTATGGTATCCTCCGGCCACAAGGTATAGCCAGACTAATTGCTGGAGTTGGGATGTTGAGAAGCATTTTTCAGAAAATATTATTGTTGCATATAGTGATAATTACGCACTGGCTAACTTGGACCGATTGGAAGTTGGAAGTATAAACACTGACCCTCGGTCTACAGCCCCAATCGCTGAAAAAGAAAAAGAAAATAAAATAATCTGCGAAAATCAATCATGACAAGGAAGCAAAGGATTTTTAGTGCAGACAATGGGGATATTAGCTAGGGAATGCTTCGCCGGTTTGGTAGCTTTAATTTTAAAAAAAATCAGTTCTTTTTTTTTTTTGGGAAAGTGGGAGTCTCTTTGGCCAGAGTGATTCTCACAGAGAATATCGCGTCTTTTTCATCCCACCACACCTACGTTAGGGCCATAGCTTAGGCTTCTTGTGGGTGGGGGTATTTTTGTATAAGGGATAGTATTCATTGGTTTTAAAATTTTTAAAACTAAATTAATGCATCCAATTAAAGTGATTAATTCGAATAATTAAAATAAATTTAAGTCAATCAATTTGATCGGTTAAAAAATATATTATTGATATTATTATATAAAATACATTTTATATTATGCATCCTACAAAATAAATGATATATTATATATATGATGTTAAAATATTATATAAACTAGGTCAAATTTATGTTACTTAAAAATATTATTAAAATTAAGTTAATAGAGTAGATCAATTTAATTTATTCGATTATCAATTTTGAAAATCAATAATCAATTAAATTAATGAATAAATTATTTTTTCAAACCATTGAAATGGAACAAACCAAACATAATTAATAACTTTTGATCAATTTTGATAGGTTATATGGATTCCAACTTATTAATACTCATCTCTAATTTGAGGATGTAAATGTGCTTGCCTCACATAGGGTTCGGCGAGCTTTAAATCCAAGACTTCCAAAAATAAATGGATTCACACCAACCTTTTAGGATTAGCGTCTAATCTATTTCAATATATTATATGTTTATCCTTGAGAAAAAAATGTTAGTGAGATTGATGAAAATTAATTGATAAGATGATTTGGTAGAATATTATACTTTTAATTTTAATTATTAAAATTTAATTATTATTGAAAACAAAAAAAATATTA